CCCTCGCTGACTGGCTGGCGTCTGGCGCTGCCGGGTTGGGCGCCGGCGCTGGTGCGACTGCGCAGAGCAAGGGCGGCCCCTAGGCAGCCACTTCCGGTTTTTCCCGCCAGCGCCTCCCTGAGTCCGTCCCGGATCCCACATGATTCATTCCATATTCCCCCTCGTCTCCTCCCATCCTCCAGAATTCACCGGCTCCCCTTGTCTTTTGTGACTTACACGCTTCTTGCTGTGCAGCGGTTCAGCTGTTTTGCAGAATCGGCCTGGGTTTCATTTGCTCCGTGTTTTCTCCTGACTGGGGTGAGGCTGTGGAATTTTGGCGGGAGCCCCTCAGGAGCCCAGCTGCGCCTCCCAAGTGTCCAGTCGCGGCGTCCTGAGGTGGGGTCGTCTGTCAGTGGGGACATGGGCCGGGATCCTTCGATGGTGATGAGCATCTTGGGGAGCTGCTCTTCTCGGAGATGCGAATGCTGCTTCTCTCCATCTTCCACCCAGCAGCTTCCACATCCATCGGGGGACCTCCCCGCCCCTTCATTACTGGAGTTTAACCGTGGCTCTCTGTTGAATCACCGGTGGGCTTCTCCAGTGAGAAGGAGCTGGCCCTTCCACTCTGCACATGCATTTATTTGATTGTTTACTTATATCAGTATGGACTCATGAGTATTTATATGCTATGGCACAAAATACATTTTAAAAAATATTGTTGCCTCAGTTGTCCCACGCTGGCCCTTGGAAGCTCCTTCAGGCTGGACAGGCTCTTCGTTGTGCTCTTTTGACAAACACACACCCTCTCTGGGGGCACGTCGCTGGTTCCCGGAACACAAGATACTCCAAGCTGGTCCTGGATTTTCCCTGCCTCAGCCCTGGCACCCGTCAGTTCTCCAAGGACCCCAGGTCTCATTGATTCCAATCCAACAACACAGGGTTTATTTTAGCCTGAGTTGTTCATTGTCTTCAGGAGTGAAAAGATGTCTCTCCTTGTTTATTTTTACATATTGTTTGATTCTAGTTTCAGAATTGCAAACCCACATGCTACAATAAGTACCTTTACTCACTAGATTGCAGTGTCTGCGCCCAGTCAAGGCTGTTTCCGGGGTGCCTGGGTCGGTTGCATCTCCCTGCCCTCCAGGATCTTTCCCTCTGCAGTGTGTGAGACTCATTTGTCTGTGACCATCGTCCATCCCAGCTTACCCCCCAGCTAAGGTCCTGGTAGGTCACAGTCACTCGTTTCTGGAGCAGATGGAGGGATGGGGAACATCATGATTGTTCTTCAAATCAGAGCTATCAGAAAAGAGACTCAGCAAAAATGCTCAGCCTCTCCCCGTGCTGACACCCCTTCCCACTCCCTGGTACCCCCACTGTGCAGGAACCGGTTTCTAAGGCTTCTGGTTCAATGAGTGATCAGGCAGCAGCTGTGTGTGATCCTGTTCCCCTTCCTTCTCTCGTGTGGGAGCACTGGAGACAGATGTTCTTAGGGCTTCTCCACTCTCACTGGATAGGCCACCCTGGAAACCCATCTGCTTCTCCTCACAGGGACCCTCCTCCTTCCTCAAACCACACAGCGCCCTGTCGTGTGAATTCACCTGTTCATTCAACCCACCCTTCCACACGACAGAATGTGCAATGTACGTGACAAGTATTTTCTCTGTTAGTTGCCCCTGACTTGTTGTTTTGGTCATGCGTTTAAAGTGGTTTATCAAATTTATCAGTCTTTTTCCTTTGTTACCTCTGGATTTTGAGTCATAGTCAAACTTCCTCTGAACCAACGTTAAGGTATTTACGCATTGTTTTCTTCCAGTAGTTATGTGGTTTCATGTTTAAACATGGAGATCCCTGGTCCATTGGGAGTTAATTCTTATGTACAATGTGAGATAGAAACTTAATTCTGTCCTTTTCCAAACAGCTGCCCAGTAGTCCCAGGATCCGTTAAGAAAATGACCATCTTCGTCCCGGAGCTTAGAGACTCCCCTCTGTCATGGACTAAATTCTCACCGTATTTGGGTCTATTTCTGGAATTTCTGTTTATGAACCACACTTCCGTAATTTTAGAGGTTTGTGGTACTGTCTGATGGGGCCTCTATTTCTGAAAAGCTTTTCATAGATTTTACTTTTAAACATTAGTTCCTGTACACGTTTCGTTCCTCTCAGGCATCCGATGATGTGGGCCCAAGTCCTTCTCTTCCTGCCTCCACACACGCTTCATTCTTCTCAGGCATCCAATGATGTGGGCCTGAGTCCTCCTCTTCTTGCCTCTGTACACGCTTCATTCTTCTCAGGCATCTGATGATGTGGGCCCGAGTCCTCCTCTTCCTGCCTCCCTGTCACACCACTTTCCCTGACACTCTGTTTTGTCATTTACATTCTCTTGGTAGTTTTTCTGCCTTTCTTTGATATCCCCCTATCACATTTCCATTTGGTGAGTCTATTTTCCTCAGGCACCTTTAAATGTATTATTAAGAGCACTTTTAGGTTTACAGTAAAACTGAGCAAGAAAATACAGAAGCTCCCACATAGACATACGACCCCTCTGAGGCACACATGGTCCTGTTATTAATGATGTGGGCCTGAGTCCTCCTCTTCTTGCCTCTGTACACGCTTCATTCTTCTCAGGCATCTGATGATGTGGGCCCGAGTCCTCCTCTTCCTGCCTCCTGTCACCACCACTTTCCCTGACACACTGTTTTGTCATTTACATTCTCTTGGTAGTTTTTCTGCCTTTCTTTGATGTCCCCTATCACATTTCCATTTGAAATTTGAGTCTATTTTCCTCAGGCACCTTTAAATGTATTATTTTAAGAGCACTTTTAGGTTTACAGTAAAACTGAGCAGAAAATACAGAGAGCTCCCACATAGACATACGACCCCCTCTGAGGCACACATGGTCCTGTTATTAATACCTTGCATTGGTGTGGTGCAGAGAGCTCCCACATAGACGTATGACCCCCTCTGAGGCACACATGGTGCTGTTACTGACACCGTGCATTAGTGTGGTGCATTTGCCATAGCTGATGAACCAATACTGATAAATTATCGTTAATTAATGTCCATGGTTTACGTCAGTGTTAACACTTGGTGCACATTCCAGAGGTTTTGAAAATGTGTAATGACGTGTGCCACGCAGAGGTGTGCCCCCTACCACAGTGCCACCTAAGATTCTCTGTGCTCCAGCGGTTCACCCCTCCCTTCCCACAGCCTCGAACCGTGGATCTCTTTCCCTGTCTTCAGAGTTTTGCCTTTTCCCAAAGGTCCTGCAGTTGGAACCATAGGTTGGGGTCTTTTCACAGGGGCTGCTTTCACTATGACTGTGCGCTGAAGCCCTCTGCAGTGTGCGTGGCTCGTGGTCCAGCTCTTTCCAGTGCTGGATTCTCTGCAGTGTCTGACGTACCACAGTTTTGTAGGAAGCCCCCACACCACCTTCCACAGCAGCTGGGCCATTTGCATTCCCCCCAGCAGGAATGAGCATTTCTGTTCCACGTCCCTGCCGGCTGCTGGTGGGGCTCGGGTTGGAGTCAAGGTGTTCTATGAGGTGCTCCTTCATTACGCAAAGAGCTCTTATAACTCATACGGAAGTATTATTATTGTGTGTGGTACGTGTTCTTTATTTCTAAGATAACTTTGTCTTTTTCTTCCATTTATTTCCTGAGTTAAATCAATTATTTTTATTACTCTGTTTTTCGCCCATATCTTACATCTTCACATTTCTGATTCAAGGTGGCTTTTCAGATCCTCCAAGGCTGGCTTGAGGGTCTCTAATTTCTCAGGGGTGTTGACTTACACGTCTCTCTGCCTCGTGGCTGTTTTTGGGGAGTTTTCTTCCTTTGGCTTTGGTGAACATTCGCCCCTGGTTTCCCGCCACAGCTCTGTGTGAATTGTCTTTCTCCCTCTCTTTGGTGACGGCGGGTGGCATAGAAGGCTCTGGCCTGCTGGCGCCCAGCTCCTCCAGTCCTGCAGTGCCGGGGGCTTCTGTGCTCCTGTTCTCAGCGGGAGGGTCTGCACCTCAGCTGTGGGGTCCGCTTCTGCCTTGCAGTCCCAACGTCATCCTGTTTTCCTTTGCTCCCCTTCTCCTCCCCCAGGAACTCTGTGTTTGGGAGACTGGACTGTCAGTCAGGCCTCCGCCCTGGGGTCTGGCTGTGAATGGGTGGGCTCTGCCTCCTGGGCTTGCTCCCTGCCCTGTGGGCCTCAGTGACGCTGGCCCCGGCTCCACCTCTCAAGGGCATCTGTGCAGGTCTGTGGCTCAGCCTCCTTCATTCTCAGTGACTCTCTGTCCTCCGGGGACGTGGGATGCTTGCCCCTCCCAGGGGCATTCCTCAACCTCCTTTCCTCATCGGGCCTTGCAGGGACTCACAGGCAGCCTGCACCCCCGAGCTCCTCCTCCTGCCTTAAATGCCAGCTTCCCGAGCCTGGGAGCTGCTGGAGGCGGGGCTTCCCGAGCCTGGGAGCTGGAGGCAGGGCTTCCCGAGCCTGGGAGCTGCAGGCGAGGCTTCCCGAGCCACAGGAGCTGCTGGAGGCGGGGCCGGGTCTTAAGGTCTCTCGGAGCTGCTGGAGGCGGGGCTTCCCGAGCCTGGGAGCTGCTGGAGGCTGGGCCGGGTCTTAAGGTCTCTGCATCTCCAGTGCTGGTCGCAGCTCGGGCAGGGGTGTCTGAGGCAGACGTCCTGTGCCATCCTCCGTTCACGGCACCCTGTATCCAGTTGTGATGTCTAAAGGCCTAGCAGCAGCCAGCGAGTCGGCCAGGCCTGGGAGGACTTCACACTGAGCACCCAGACCCCTCAGGGGGCATCTGGACTTCGGTAGGAGGAGGCCACCCAACCTAGGACACAAATAATTCAGGTTCTGTCCTTTAATATGAGACGTATAACCATGAGGTCGTTTTTTTCTAGGTTTCAGAAAAGGAATTTTCTTAAAAGCAGCATAGGGGTGGGTTTGTACCGAGGGTTCACCCAGTTAAGATGGATTTTAATAGTTTCTCCTCTTTCCCGTTTTCTTCCTGTGTCTTTCTCCACAAACAGGAGCTGGGGGCTGGACCCCACTCGTATCAAATAAGAACCAATGGCTGCAGATCGACCTTGGAGAGAGGGTGGAGGTCACAGCGGTGGCGACGCAGGGCGGGTACGGGAGCTCCGACTGGGTGACCAGCTACATCCTGATGTTCAGCGACAGCGGCAGCAACTGGAAGCAGTACCGGCGGGAGGACAGCATCTCAGTAGGTCCTGGTGGGAGGACAGTGTCTTGGTGGGTCCCCAGTGGGAGGACAGCATCTCGATGGGTCCTGGTGGGAAGGTTTCCGTGTGTCTCAGTGGGTCACAGTGGGAGGACAGTATCTCGATGGGTCCTGGTGAGGACAGTGTCTCCGATGGGTCCTGGTGAGACAGCATCTCTGTAGGTCCTGGTGGGATGACAACATCTCAGTAGGTCCCGGTGGGAGGACAGTGTCTTGGTGGGTCCCCAGTGGGAGGACAGCATCTCGGGCGGTCTGGTGGGAGGCGGGTGTCTCGGTGGAGTCCGCAGTGGGAGGAGACAGGCGTCTCGATGGGTCCTGGTGGGAGGACAGTGTCTCAGTAGGTCCCCAGTGGGAGGACAGCGTCTCGATGGGTCCTGGTGGGAGGACAGTGTCATTGGGTCCGCAGTGGGAGGACAGCATCTGGTGGGTCCTGAGGTGGGGAGGACAATGTCTCAGTGGGTCCTGGTGAGAGGGACTGTGTGAGTGTCTCAGTGATGGGTCCTGGTGGGAGGACAGCGTCTCGGGGGATCGTGGTGGGAGGGACAGGCCAGCCCAGTGTCTCGGTGGGTCCATGATGGGAGACAGCGTCTCGATGGGTCCTGGTGGGAGGACCCAGTATCTCTGATGGGTCTGCAGTGGGAGGACAGCGTCTGATGAGTGGGAGGACAGCGTCTCGATGGGTCCTGGTGGGAGGACAGTGTCTCAGTAGGTCCCCAGTGGGAGGACAGCGTCTCGGTGGGTCGTGGTGGGAGGACAGCATCTCTGTAGGTCCTGGTGGGAGGACAGCGTCTTGGTGGGTCCTGGTGGGAGGACAGCATCTCCGTAGGTCCCTGGTGGGAGGACAGTGTCTCAGTGGGTCCTGGTGGGAGGACAGTGTCTCAGTAGGTCCCTGGCAGGAGGACAGTGTCTTGGTAGGTCCCTGGTGGGACAAGAGCATCTCAGTAGGTTCCTGACGGGAGGACAGCGTCTCGGTAGGTCCCCTCCTGGCAGCACTGGCTCCTGGGGCCTGGCTTGCAGGGATGTCCCCAGGGAGCCCTGGAGGGTTTGGCTCTGGTAGAGAAAAAGCAGCTCCAGGATTTCCTGGCCAAGGTTTCCTGCATTTTCAGATGCACAAAACATGCACAATTTAGTGAGTATGTAAAACAGTTCTATGGCATAGTGGGAAACTGGAAGAAAACCTGGGGTTTCTACTAAAACCATGGGCAGGATCACGTGTAACTAGCCTGTGTTTCGCACAGTCATGTGGAGGGTGGTGTTGGGGCCACATCGCTTCACATGAACGCAGTGAGCACAGCCTGACCCCAAATTCTTTGGCCTAAACTTCTGAAAGACACGGATGGACCCATCTCCCTGTGGACAACCATCTGTGGACTCTGTCCTCTGTCCCACGGCCACATTCAGTAGGTTTTTGGGCAGAGACTGCCTTGAGATTCAATGACCTTGTGTCTCTGGTCCCTAAACTGTCACACACCTGTGCTTCTTTGGGGCAAAATGTTTTTGTTTGCCTAGCTTGTGACTTTTAACAAGACATGCGATTTTCTACATATCTTTCATTACGTAATTACTGAAGTATCTCAGACACATTAGTTTAACCTTGCTGAGCTCGGAGAGTGGTTTAAAATGTTCGGTTTTGTGGCTGGAGTGAGGCCCCAGTAAAGGAGACACTGGTGGCCGTTGTTTACAAACAGCGGCCACCACAGAACCGAGGGTGCAGGTGGTGGATGTTTGTGAGTGGATGTTAAGGGGAGCTCATGTGAGGGGCTGTGGCCAGGGCAGGGCATCAGCCTTCACTTAAAACACCAGCTGAAGGCAACAGGGACTGGAGGAGGCTGCGAGCTCCTTGCCACACTTGGGCAGCTCTGCATTTCCTCTTCGGGAACACCCTGACAAGAAGGGAAAACAGAGGTTCTCGGCGCAGCTCCGGTGACCAGCACAGATGAGCCAGAGAGCCCAGGAGCGGCTCTAACGGGTCAACCACGTCCCCTGCATGGACCTCCCGGACCCCAGCTCTGTGTCCTCCATGAATGGAGGACGTGGGCTGGGTTGGCCCTGGGATAAGCCAGGACTGGGACCACCCTGGCTAAAGCAGAGTGAGGGGACATGAATGAGGGGTCAGCCACCCCCGTCCTGGGAACAGATGCCAGACCAGCTATGACTCTAGTTACAAATCGCGTAGTAACTTCAAAGACAGGCCACCACTGCGGGATGCACGTCAGCACTAATTATATTAAGATTGGGTTTTGGCACAATTTAAAAAGAATAAAGGGGAGCTGGAGACACTGTGGGAATTCTCACCTTCCTGTTCCAGCTGTGCTCTCGGCATCCCTCTTCCTGCTGACTCCTCAGGGGAAACAGCATCAGGACCAAGCCCAGGCCACACTGAGAGGGATGCACCAACTGCAAAGGGTGTGACTGCACTGTCATCGTCGTCCTCATCTGTCCAGTATTCCTGCGAGGCCCCTGTAATTATAAGCAGATGCCATGTATTGTTTGGCTTTTAAAAATTGTGGCACAATATAGATAACAAAAAAATTACCATTTTATTCGTTTTCAAGTGTGTAATTCAGTGACCTAAGTGTCATATTGTGCAAACGTGGACACCATCCATCTCCAGGACTTTCTCATCTTCCCAAACCACGACTGTCCCCATTAAACATTCACTCCCTATCCAACCCCTCCACCCGCGGCACCTCCATCCCACTCACCGTCTCTGTGACTTTGACGACTCTAGGGACGTCACAGAAGTGGAATCAGACAGTATTTGTCTTTTATGATTAGCTTCTTCCACTTAGCACCACACCCTCAGGTTTCACCACATCGTATATGTGTCAGAATGTCCTTTTGAAGAGTAAATCACTCTGTTGTATGGATAGACCACATTTTGTTTGTCCGTTCACCCATTGAGGGACTCTTGGTTGTTCCTATGTTTTCACTATTATGAATAATACTGCTGTGAACATGGGTGTACAAGCATCTCTTTGCAAGCTGCTTTCAATTCTTTTGCATACATATCCAGAAGCAGCATTGTTGGATTATGTGGTAGAACCATGTTTTCATCTTTTGAGGAAACGCCCTACTGTTTTCCATAGTGGCTGCATCATTTCACATTCCCCAGCCACGCAGGAGAGTTCTCACCGCCGCTCTGCTGTACTGACACTGGTGTGGCGTGTGTTGTTTAGTAGCAGCAGCACTGTTGGGGGTGAGGTGTTGTCTCACTGTGGCTCTGAGCTGCGTCTCTGGACAGTGAGTGATGCCAAGTGTCCCACTTGCTGGTGGAGCTTCCGCATGTCTTCTTTGGAGAAATGTCTATTCAGGTCCCTTGTCAACTGTTAAAATCAGATCATTTTTACTGCTGTTGTTTAACTGTGGGAGCTCATTCTGTATGTTGGATATTAACCCTCTGTCATCTGTGTTATTTGCCAGGTTTTCTCCTGTTCCATGAGTGGTGTCTTGGTTGCTGACACCGTCTTTTGATGCACCTGTGTATTCAATTCTATTTGCCTGGGTTTTCTCCCATTCCATGAGTGGCCTCTTGGTTGCTGACACCGTCTTTCTTTTCTTTTCAGTTTTTTGTTTTTTGTTTTTTTTTTTTTTTTTTGAGACAGAGTCTTGCTGTGTCACCCAGCCTGGAGTGCAGTGACGCCATCTCAGCTCACTGCAAGCTCCGCCTCTCAGGTTCATGCCATTCTCCTGTCTCAGCCTCTCAAGTAACTGGGACTACAGGCACCCGCCACCACGCCCAGCTAATTTTTTGCATTAATTAGTAGAGACGGGATTTCACTGTCTTAGCCAGGATGGTCTCTATCTCCTGACCTCATGATCCACCTGCCTTGGCCTCCCAAAGTGCTGGGATTACAAGCGTGAGCCACCATACCCGGCCTGCTGACACCGTCTTTTGATGCACCTGCGTGTTTGGTTCTATTTGCCTGGGTTTTCTCCTGTTCCATGAGTGGCGTGTTGGTTGCTGACACCATCTTTTGATGCACCCGTGTGTTTGGTTCTATTTGCCTGGGTTTTCTCCTGTTCGGTGAGTGGACTCTCAGTGGCTGACACTATCTTTTGATGCACCAGCGAGTTCAGTTCTATTTGCCTGGGTTTTTTCCTGTTCCATGAGTGGCTTCTTAGTGGCTGACACCGTCTTTCGATGAACCTGCATGTTCAGTTCTGATGTGTTCGGTTCTGTTCCGCCTTTTGTTGTTCTGCTTTATTTATATTTTAAAAGGATATTGACAAGTTATGCTGGAATAATTTCTCCATATATAATATCAGCTGAGCTATAATTACCATTTTACTTTCTAATCTAAATGTCTTCTCTTTTCAATTTTCTTTTAATCATAGATATTTTTACTTTCACAGAAGCAAAATCTCTCTAGCTGATAATTACTAGTGTTAATGTTATACTATGATCCTCATTTAAAATAAGACAGGGCTGATACTTATAACTTCCACATGATTATTCAGTTATCTGCGTTTACAGTGAGATACACACAATACCAACATCTTGAACACAATCATTCAGTTATCCGCCTTTATAGTAAGTCACACACAATCCCGACATCATCCACACAATTATTCGGTTATCTACCTTTACAGTGAATCACACAGGATACTGACATCTTCCACAGAGTTATTCGGTTATCTGCCTTTATAGTAAGTCACACACGATACTGACATGTTCAACACAATTACTCAGTTATCCGCGTTTACAGTGAGTCACACACGATGCCTGCCAACATTGTCCACACCGTTATTCGGTTATCCACCTGTACGGTGAGTCACACACAGTACCAACATCTTCCACAGAGTTATGCGGTTATCCACCTTTACAGTGAGTCACACAAAATACCGACATCTTCCACACAGTTATTCGGTTATCCACCTTACAGTGAGTCACACACAATACTGACATCTTCCACACAGTTATTCAGTTATCCGCCTGTACAGTGAGTCACACACGATACCGACTTCTGCCTTTACAATGA